ACACATTTTTTTTTTATTTCTTTAAAGCATACGCTACCAAGAATCCCTTCAATGAGTCTATTGGAATTTTTTGCAATCAATTCGAGGGCTCCAACTACAACAGAGATTGTTGATGTTCTCATGTGCCACATTGTTGCTGTTGTTGTTTTTGTTGTTGTTGTTGTTCTTCTTCTTCTTCTTCTTATTATTATTATTATTACTATTATTATTATTATAATTATTATTATTTTCTGTAATGTTGTCGGCCCTGACCTGGTGCCTCGACTACAGGAATTTAAGCGTACTACTAGATTGGCTGTTAGGTCTCACCGTTTTACTGTTGAACTAATTAGATGAAATCACCACTTCTACCCTAATAGTTCCTTTTACCAACTGTGGAACTCACTTGCGATGTCTTGCTTCCCTGCCATCTATAATCTTCATACATTTAAATGTAACGTCAAGTGCCACCTTCTATCTTCTTGAACCTTTCTCCTTTATTGTCCATTCCTCACTTCTCGTCACGTAAGTCGTTTCTTATTCTCTTTCGTTACCTGTAACCCCATCCGTCTTAATGGCATTATCTCCATACTTGGGATGAAATGATTAAAAAAACAAATTATTATTTTCTTTGATTTCTGTTGTATACACAATAAATTCCGGGTTCCAACCAGAGATTAAGACCAAAAATGGTATCATGATATTTTCATTGGACATTTTTGTAAAAAAAAAAAAGTTAAAATAAAATCCACCTAAGATCACAGACATTTTGCATAGACAAAACATTTCGTATGGTTTGAATTGTGCCTATGAGAACTATTTTTTGTATTTCTTGAAATCATGGGCTACCATATTATTATTATTATTATTATTATTATTATTATTATTTGTGTATGTTATGTTTCATGCTTTGTATCCTGTAGATCCGGGTCCATACTATGGCCCTTAGGCCCAAGAGGAGAATTGTCATTTAATTAATAGCAGTATATGGTATGTTCCTAGTAGGGCGATATTTTGGGCAACTTGTATGTTGATGTTACCTGGGACACTGTTAGTAAAATTGTCCATTCCTTTTTTCGCGAGTCCAGAGATCCGATTACTATTGATACAGCCTCAGTCTTCATTCCCCACATCCTGTTAATCTCGATCTCCAGATCCTTGTATTAAGACAATTTCTCGATAATTTTCATGGAGGTGTTTCTCTTAGATGTTATTATTATTATTATTATTATTATTATTATTATTATTATTGTAAATTGCTATTACAAATTGCTTTTACTCTTTGATTTACCCACGTATCATTATAAAAATATTTTTTTATTTACAGACCTTTACTCCAAAGTTCATCTTATAGGCACATCTAAACACTACGATTATTATTATTATTATTATTATTATTATTATTTGTGTATGTTATGTTTCCTGCTTTGTATCCTGTAGAGCCGGGTTCAAACTATGGTCCTTAGGCCCTATAGGAGAATTGTCATTTAAATGATAGCATTTTTCTTAATATATGTGATAAAGCAATTTTGTTATTTATTGAGAGAACAGCACGCGAATAAAGTGACACTAAGGTACAAATATACAAGGCCAACATATTCATCATGGCATCCAGTCGAAGAAGGATATTCAAAACAGATTATTATTATTATTATTATTATTATTATTATTATTTGTGTATGTTATGTTTCCTGCTTTGTATCCTGTAGAGCCGGGTTCAAACTATGGCCCTTAGGCCCATCATGACACCCAGTCTTATAATGGTATACTGGTTCATGCATCACAGCCAAATGTTCACGATATAGTGACAGGTTTTGATAAGAGTGGTGCACAATCTTGCAGGTAGGTTCCATTTCGGAACACTTTCAGATCAGAGAGCCTTTCAAAGAGTCTATCAAATCATTTTTGTAACCAAACTCAGTGGCCTAACCACAATTGATATTACCGATGCCGTCACGTGCCACATCCTTATATGGTGATAATTTTGTTTTGAAGATCTTCAAAAATGCACTTCAGTCTGCAGGAACTGCTAAGTCAATAAGAAGAGTTTGTTACGTTTCGGCGTAGTTCATTTGGCGTCGCTGATTTGGCGTCAGAAAAATAATTGGACGATTCGTCACAGCCGTTTTGGCGTCAGACTGTTTCGACGTCACTGTCTTTGACCGGAGGTAACCCTACCCCCTCCCACCAAAAAAAGAAGAATAAAAGCATTGAAAACACCCAACTTTCAATATGATTTTTTTTATTCATTTAGGAAATTAAGGATCCACTTAAAACACTAATGGAATAAAGTAAATTAAATCTTAAATTAAAAATATTGTATTTAAAAAAAAAAAAAATCTTAGATTTAATCTTAGAAATTACTTCTTCATTTCGGAATTATGAGCAACACCCTTCAGGAATTCAATAGGATCTAATGATTCAACTTCCATTATGACTTTTTTATTCATCCATTAGCATCTCTATATATTTTAGCGTTTCGGGGTGGGGGTGGATATCCAGCGATAAACTTTTCGAGAAATGCATCACGTCCTTTCTCAACTTTCCGTCAAGCATCAAGAAATTTCCAAATTGAATGATGATGCATTCCTAGCTCATATTGCAAACGCCGATTGGCAACTTCGGCTTTTTCCTGTGCCGAAAAATTCTTATGTCGAATCGGCTACGCCGAATCAGCAACACGGAATCGGCCACGCCGAATCGGCTACGCCGGAACGTTCCATTCCCCAATAAGAAAGCAGATTCTCTTTTTATGGTTTTTGATCACAATATCTGGGCAATAAGCTTTGATTGTTCTCTGTTTCATGTAAAGTTCCATAAAACTGTTTCGTTTCGTTATTATTACTACTCCTACTACTACTACTACTACTACCACTACTTGTATTTCCTTTGGTGTATATTCATTTCTTTCCGGGTCCCGACCAGAGACCTATGGTCAAAAATGGCATCATGATATTTTCCACTGAGCAGTTTTGAAAAAATATATCACACATATTTTATATAGATAATGCCCTTCGTTCGGTGTTCGGTTTTTATTTCTTTAAGGTATGGGCGACCAGGAATTCATTTAATGGGTCTATTGGAATCTTTTCCCATCAATTCGAGGTCTCCAACTGCAACTCGAATTGGCAATGTCCTCAGGCGCTACATTTCTGAGATTTCGATTTCCTTGTATTTTGATAGTTTTTTTGAAGATCTGCAGGAACTACCATGTCAATAAGAAGGCATATTTTGTCTTTTCAGTCTCCAATCACGATGTCTAGGCGATCAGCTTTGATTGTTCTGTTTGCGTGAATTGTAAAGACCCATAAACTTGTTACAGGTACTATCTCCGTAACCGAGTCTGGGTGGTGATTATTATTATTATTATTATTATTATTATTGGTGTATGTTATGTTTCCTACTTTGTATCCTGTAGAGCCGGGTTCAAACTATGGTCCTTAGGCCCTGAAGGAGAATTGTCATTTAATTAATAACACTTTTCTTAGTATATGTGATGTTCCTAGTGGGGCGATCTTCTGGGATACTTGTATTTTGATGTTGCCTAGGACACTTAGTAAAATTGTTCATTTCTTTTTTTCACGAAGCCCAGAGCTCCGATTACTCTTGGTAGAGTCTCAGTCTTCATTCTACACATCCTGTTAATCTCGATCTCAAGGTCCTTGTATTTGAACAATTTCTCAATAATTTTCATAGATAGTACTGCTATGTCAATAAGCAGATATTTCCTGAACTTCTTGTCTTTTCTGATAATATCAGGTCTGTTGGCTTTTATTTCCGTGACAGTTTGAATTAGCATGTCCCAGAGGATAGTTAAATCTGTGCCTGGTTGGTGCTCATACCATCTCTCAGTGGTTTCGATTTTGTGCTTCTTACATATCTTCTAGTGCACATATGTCTGTGGGGAAAACAGTAAGTCCCGCGTATTCGCGGGGGTTAGGGACCAAAACCGGTCGCGAATAGTTAGAATCCGCGGATACTTGTAACCCCCACCCCCTAAAAGTGCTTATAAGTACCTATTTTCATTGTTAAAACCCCATATGCCTTAAACTTTCATCCTAAAAACTTTAGAAACTTTTCAGAACCTTTTTAAATCATTTTTGAAAAATAGTATTGGTGACCATACACTTAACGTAAATTTTCTTTCATACGTAAAATAACCGTTTTTAATTACGCATAGATCGATACAACCATTGAAAATTCTGTATAAAATATGTGTAACAAGACAAAATATAAAGTTTGATAAATATTTTCTAAAAACAGAACTATAATGATGCTCCTAGACTAAGCATAAGCCACTTTTAAGACCCCAGCCCCTAACATAGAAGAAAAACCCAAGTACTACGCATGTTTTTGCGTTTGTTTTTTTTTTACAATGAAGATCTACAATTCTTCCAATTTTTACTATGAAAATGAACTGTTATATGTTTTAAGTCGCTTAAATAACAGGGAAGTAATACAAGAATATTTTTAAAAAGTTCTATCGAAAAAAATACGCGAATCGAGGGATTTCTCAGCGAATAATTTGTACATATGTTCTTCAGAAAAACACGTGAATATTCGAGGCTTCCGCGAATAAAAAGTACATGTGTTCTAAAGAAAAATCCGCGAATGTGTGAAGCCGCGAATGCTGAAACGCGAATAGGCGGGGGGTTTACTGTATTCATTTTTGGCCGGTTCCGGATATCCTGAAAGAATATGGTCGACAGTTTTATCATATTTTCGGCAGATCCTACATTTTGATTTATCAGAAAAGTACGAGGAATTTATGCGGATTGAGTTTTCGCCCCAATAACAAATGATAGTTTTTAGTCGAGATCAAGTGCCAGCAAGTCTCTTCAATACTACAGCATATTCTTAAAGGATTCCATGCAGAAGTCTGGTGGGTTTTCAATTCTTCGTCGAAGTTTTAATTCTTCGAATCACTTTTCAAGGGCTCTTCGAGACTGTTCCAGGTTATCCAGTTAGAGCAGGAATAAGAGTCATTTTCGTGTAGTAAAGGTTTTCTTCTTTTCACTTAGCTGTTCGCAGAGGAAAAAGGCTGCCAAACCCAATACATACATCCATATCCATCTATTTCTTGTCTATTTCAATCTATCTATCTATCTATCTATCTATCTATCTATCTATCTATCTATCTATCTCTTCATGTTAATTATTTATCTCAATCTGTTTCTATCTATCTATCTATCTATCTAGCTAGCTAGCTAGCTAGCTAGCTAGCTATGCACTTAGCATTTTCTGAATATGTCATATCCGAAAAAACATATATCCCCTAAACACCGAACATGCTAACACTTCACATTTAAATGAGTTATATATATATATATATATATATATATATATATATATATATATATATATATATATATATATATATATATATATATATATTATTATTATTAGGCGGCACGGTGGAGTAGTGGATAGCGGCTCGATTCCATTAAATTCACTTACATGTTAATACCTTTGGAAAAAGTATTAATCCTCCCTCCATCTATGGGTAAATAGTAAGACAGACTGGGTTCTATAGCCTTGGATGGCAACTGGTCTAGGAGAAGGACAACTCTGAATTCAAAACCTGCGTAGGGTCGTTTGAGGACCATGTGGCACGTAGTGCACCAGGTCTCTGTATTCGGCTCTTCAAAAGGTGTGGTTGGTTCTGCACAAAGCCTTCACCACTATAATCAAATCATATGTGCTGGTGTTTGGCAGTCGATTCCTAGAAACTGAGTTGTTTGACACTAATACGTCGAATACGACGGGAGAGCCCACCAATTTATTATTAAAAATTATAATAATTTAACAACAACAACAATAATAATCATAATAATAATAATAATAAAAATAAATTTTTTTAATAATAATAATAGTAATAAAGATATTTGAGCGTAAGTGAATATAACGACCCCGACTGGAATTGGAACTCGGCTTTCTAATTTCTAGCCGTTATCCATTACACCCACCGTACAATACCAAGCATAGAACAACTTGTATTCTTAAGTGGTCATCCATATAGTTACTGGCCAGACTTTACGTTGCTTAACTTTGGTGATCATACAAGAACCAGTGATTTAAACGGTATATATATATATATATATATATATATATATATATATATATATATATATATATATGTGTGTGTGTGTGTGTGTGTGTGTGTGTGTGTGTGTGTGTGTGTGTGTGTGTGTGTGTGAAAATATATAAATATATGAATTACACATAAAGTGCTGGTGTTATTGAAACAGTGCTCGATGTTATATAATGGAGCTTCCGAGTAATGCAAACGATGTAGGTATATATTCACTAATATATATATATATATATATATATATATATATGTACACACACACATATATGTATATATACACATATATGTATATATATATACATATATATCTTCATCTATATATATATACACACACTTATATATTCATTAATATGTATAGACACACACACATATAAATATTGATTAATATATATATATATATATATATATATATATATATAATACCCACACACACACACATATATATATATATATATATATATATATATATATATACAAACAGATAGACACACACATATGATTGAATAAGTTTCAAACGTTATTTTTCTTATTTTGACCACAAGCAGACATAACGTTTGTAACTTATTGAATCATATGTATATATATATATATATATATATATATATATATATATATATATATATATATATATATATATATATATATATATATATATATATATATATAGGGGGTTATAGAGAGAAATTTATTAACTTAATTTGGTACAATAAAAATTTAAACTCTCCCTACCATTAGATAAGGTCATAAAAATTTCCTAACTCATCACAACTTCGCATTTGGCCCTGGTGTTTATATCTTGGCTGTAATTGTTTTGATAACGTCTCCTTTCGTCTCTATGAATTTATGTGCACTACTAGACTGGTAACAAGTTCTCATCATCTTGCAGTTCAAATGCCTATATGTAACCGTAAGTTCTATACTATTTCTATTATCGCACTTCCCGCCTGTGGAATTCTGTTTCGGGCCAATCAACTTTGATCTTAATTTAAATTCAATGTCAATCCTTATCTTCTTCTTAATTTCTATTCTTTTCTTGGTGTTGCTCTTTAATAATGTTTCTCTTTTGCTTATATTCTTTTGTACTCAATAAATACCCCACGCCGTGTCTTAGTAGCTTTATTGCTTTGTTTGGGGTGACATGATAAAATAAATCAAGATTCACGTTTAACAATGAATTTTTTATAAGCAAAATTTCGGATTGGCGATGGAGACGCTTCTGAGCGAACTTTTAGCCTGTTTGTTCCTAGTGTTGCCTGAATCACCTCCTTTACCGGTAAATTAATAAATAAAAGAAAATTATGGGGTGCGCTGGTCTCATCATGATGCAAATTCATGCATCTATCCATCTACACCGGGCTGTGGTTACATCCTCTTGGGGTTACCATATATTTATACAACTACGCTTACAGTAATTAAAAATAAATATTAATAAAAAAAATATAATTGTTGTCTGACAATTACAGTGATGTTTGAGTATGTTAATTTATGTTTCGCTGTGAGTAGTAGAAAGTGCTTGATCTTAAGATGGGGATGTGTACAGCGGGGTTGCCCTAGAACAAAATACCGTCTAGACCTCCCCACACCTTCTCAGAGGCCCTGCATTCAA